TAAAACAAACTTTTGGAGCTGTATAAGTTTGGCTATTATGCAGATTATACATGTACATGTAACTGGTAGATTCATATACAAGGGGTAGCATACGATCTGTTAGATAATCCGGCCACTGTCTGAATATAAATGTGTATGCATATAAAAATAAGGGGACTTGGTATGATTGTCAATGAGACAACTATCCATTAGATTCTAAGATGACATTGATGTAGGCAACAATAGATCACCGTACCCGGGCCTTTAACAATGATCAAAAACCATACCGTACAGTCAACTAAAAAATGCCCCGACTTTACAAAATGTGAGAAAATTCAAACGAGAAAACAGCTGGTTTTATGACAAAACAATCAACGAAAAAAAGTTTGACAGACAACCGTCAACGGCAACCACTGAATCACATGCATCTAACTTGAGACAGACACATACAGAATGTGACGGGGTTAAATTTGTCCGTGAGCGCTCAACCCTCTCCTTACATAGGAATATGGTGTATAAGCACAACATAAGAACAAACTGTAAAAACACTTGGAAATTACTTGATTTTTCAGATTTGCACAAAGACAACAGACACAAAGTCCCAATCTAAGAGTTCTCTAGATTACTGAAAACTAGTTCATTGAAAATCACAGCTCTTAAATAAATCATGTTATCCCAGACTAAAGTATCAATTAGGACACATCCAACGGATTTAGTGAAAAGACGTCATACACATGCTGAGAAAAGCTTGACCATGTGCAATGCCAATATTGTAATATCGACAGAATGTCGGACAATTAATTTTCATAAATTAAAAGTATACATATTACCCTTTTGGACACATTATAATGACGCCAAACCGACGCGGGGGCCTCTGTGGCCGAGTGGTTTAAGTAGCTCATCTACTGTGTCACTAGCCTGTCAACACGGAACCTTCACACATGGCTGGTGCGTTTGACTCCAATCTTAACTGATTAGAATTGTCAGTTTTCCTACAAAATGTCGGTGGTTCTCTTCGGTTAGTGCGGCTTCCTTCACCGTCCATCCATCTATCCGAACCGACGTATCGTTGGTCTTACTCTTAATTGCCTCGTCCTAGGCACAGAAATAGAAAAACAGCCAATTTAAAGTCTGGTTTCCAATGCCATGAATTGTACCCAAGATTCAAGACTGTTCGTACTTTAGGAGAGCATACTTCTGAGTCAGTTGTTTTGAATTGAACCTTAGTGTGTACTTGTATTGGAAGTAAATTTGTACTTAATCACTGTCAAAATTTCGACGAAAAACACTTTTCCCATTTAGATCCACACAGACTTATAACATTTAGGGTTAAACGGGGTTTACAGTTCCCCCCTTTTTTTAATTTGAATTGCATGAGATATTTTTATTGAGATGAATAGGTACATGTACCTTTTCATAATTTATTAGATGATATTATATTCATAAACTTCTAAAATTGTTGGTTATGTAAAGTACGGAAAAAAGCTAGCTGTGAAAAAGCGTTTTTATTACGACCATATCACGTTGAAAACACCGGTTCTCGCCCGATACTTCGATGGGTGATCACCTGGGATTACCGGGAGTTGTAGTCATAAAACAAGCTACAAGTTATAGCAATTGGAGCGTTAAGCTGTCAAAGAGAGATCACGTTGAAACTGCTAAAATTGTTATCCTATTCTCAAAAACGGACCAATATTGTTATGGTAAATCTATAGAAATAACAGAAACTAAACTAAAAGATTGTCCAATCTATTGGTTAAAAATTTACGTAATGCAAAGACCGAAAGTAAAGGGCCCCTTATTCTGTCAATTTGGAGGAAATCTAGTGACAAGGTACCAGTTTTCATGTGTTCTAAGTAAGGTGTCAACGAGTACTCGAGTATTCGAGTATCCCTCGGTAGTACCGAGTATCGAATACCAAAACGATACTCGACTAATCGGTGTCCTTTTATATAACTGTCTTCTTTTTATGAAATTGATCTTCTTGAGAACCTCTTTCGGAAAATTAAAGAGGCATCACTGATTAATCAAATTAGTAAATAAAATACATTTTGTTTCGAATGCTTGTGCTAAACTGTCAATTAAAATGACTCCTTGGGTTATACCTAGGCTAACATGTCGTAGCCATTCCGTCACATCGGTACCATTAGAACAAATATTGTCGTCTGTAAGACTGTTAGTTACAAAGTTACAAATCTTTTAATACATGTAGGCATAACGGATTCAGTTTCATTTCGAACACATTGTTTTCCTCGTCTGTGCTGCTTCAAGCCACTTTGAAAAAGGAACCTCTGAGGAAGAGATAAAGAGACTAGGTCGCTGGAAGTCAAATGCATGTAAGGAGTGCATTCGTTAATGAGTTCAAAGTATATAAACAGTTGATATTGATTTTCTCTCAAAAACTTTCACATTGATTTGATACAATTGTACATGAGTTTTTTTTTAAATATTTCATGAACTATTTTTATAAATGCATACTTACTTTACTAAATGAATCTTCAGGTCAACAAGAAAACAAGTCAGTTTGGGTTGTTGGGTTTTCGATTGTGAAAAATGCGTTAACAGAAGCTAAACGATCATACGATGGCTGAAGCTTATGACTGCATAGAAAAAAATACAGGGTATGGTGGCAAGGAATAGGTGGCATGAAATGGGGTGGGGGGGGGGGGGGGAGGGGGAGCTTGTACCAAGGACAAATTTTCTCCTCCAAATTGAATCCCCTAAAATTGTACTTATCCATTGTGGTGTAATAGTATAGGGTTTATATCACTCTTTGATTTTAGAGAAACCTTGACGTATGATATTTTGTAAATACATGAAATGCTGCCACAAACAAAACTTGTTTGGTCCCAAATCTTCCGCGAGATATAGTTAATACCAACAAGCAATGAATATAGCAGCCACAAGAATGGACAACTTTGCAGCTTGGCCGAATTTGTGGCGGTGGTCGAACTCAGTGTCCAATAACCCTCGGCATAGCCACTGAATTCGACCATTTGGCGAAAATAGCGACACAACATCTACAAATATATTATGCTTCTTATATAATGGAATTATGTATCCGCTGAGCTTCTGATTCCCAGGGCCAGCATCCGATATATTTTGGAAGCAATAATGTTAATAAGGATATTATGTTGATTTAAGGAAATGCCATTATAAGGAATAAGAATTATGTGGAAATAAGGAATAAGGAATGGACAATAATGTTGAAATAAGGAATAAGGAATGGACAATAAGGTTTAATTATATATACTAGTGACTTGCCATTTATGTTTCTCGGCAGTCCCATTCTTTGTCAAGCCGTGGCCGTTCAATTTGTACATTTGCCAAATAAAATAATTCTTACTTTACATATGTATGTCATTTAGCCCAACATTGTCTCAGATAATAGAAAAACAAAGGATTTGGGGTAACCATCTATGACACAAAATCAGTACATGCACAGCAGAACACACACCAAAATGAAAGGAGCAGCGCTTTTATTACTGTTCTTCATCTCAAAGTCACATTGAGGTTTTCAACACGGAACAAAACAACAACAACAAACAACAAACAACCTCTCAGCTCACTGTAAGTTTAAGACGGCCCTAGCAATATACTTACACTGAAAAGAATGTATCATTATTTGTCTTAACATTCAGTAAACGTTTGGACAAATGTATGATATACATATACACGAGGGTCTGGGTGGGGTTTACAGAATAGAGAGGGTCTGGGTGGGGTTTACAGAATAATGTCAAAAAATAATAATGAAACAGTATAAAGGATAACTGTTGAGATAACAGAAAAAGGTAATACAATACTGATTACAGAAATGAAGGATATACAGAATTAAAAAAATCGTTTAATTACACAGAATTGTATTGTTAAATATTTTTTTGACAATTTTACAGAATAAGCGTTATTCTTAAAGATATAGAAAAAATGCTTAAAAAATTAATAGAATACAGAGATTAAGTACCCCCCTTTCCATACCCTCATACGTGTTTGCTGTGAGAGGTGTTTATTAATGAAAATGTTGCGTTAATTAAGTCTCCCAAACTTCGAGGGCCAAAAAGAAGGAGGGGTTTACTATAGAGCCTTATGGGATTTTTTTTTCTATTTTCAAATGATTATAACTTGAAAACAGTTAGTGATAGACACAATCTTTATAATTGAAAATATTCTAAATAATAAGGCACATTAAATGAGATAAAAGGTTAGCCCCAAGGGGTTACCCCCACCCCCTGCCATTAGAGAAAGTTTTAATATCTTGGAAGTGGTCAGGATCCCCATCCCTAAACCATATATATGCTGGTTTGTCATGCCAAGATGATTTGAATGATAGTCTCAAGGGGTCGTCCCGACCCCCTGCCATTTGAGAAAGTTCTAATATCTTGTAAGTGGTCAGGATCCCCACCCCTAAACCATATATATTTTCCTGTTCGTCAAGTTACAAAGATTTGAATTATATATAGGGTCAGTCCCCAGGGATTCTCCCCACCCCACATGTTCTAATATCTTGTAAATGGTCGATATCCCCACCCTAAACCATATATATTCCTGATTGTTATGTCACAAAGATTTGAATGATATATAGGGTCAGTCCCCAGGGGTTCCCCCACCCCAATGTTCTAATATCTTGTAAATGGTCAAGATACCCACCCCTAAACCCTATATATTCCTGATCGTCATTTCACATAGATTTGAATGACAAACAGGGTCAGTCCCTATGCGTCACTAATGCATATCACTTTACTGGACCAAACCAATTCGAATCACGCACGTGGCAGGTGCCATCGACTCCAATCTTAATTGACTAGGATTGTCAGTTTTCCTACTGAAGGTTGGTGGTCCATTCCGGGCACTCCTGTTTCCTCCACCAATACAAACTGACCACCACGAAATAGCACAATAGTACTGAAAGTGGCGTTAAACACCAATCAATCAATCAAAAGAATACTAATTCATATACTACTGAAAGTAATTATCTTTTTATCAATAATTATTAAAGAATTATTTTTTTTCTATTGTTTTTTCAGGTATGTAATGGAAAGCATAATGACTCTGGCACTGGCGATCTCAGTCAGCAGCTTTACAATTTACTGTGTTTATCGTCGAATGGTAGGATCAAGTACTAACCTCCCTGGACCAAGGGCGTGGCCAATATTGGGAAATCTTCTAATGATTAGTAGAGCCAAAGACTTTTATCAACTATCAAAGGAGTTAAAAAAGAAGTATGGCAACGTTTATAGACTGCAGTTTGGACAGCTGACCGTCGTTTTCATTTCTGGACACAAAAATATATCAAAATTTTGGATTGAAGATGGCGATATTTCTACGGACAGACCAGACTGGATGTTTTGTCCAAGAGTAATCACCAAACAAAAAGGTGAGTTCATGGACCAAGAGCTTTAATAACAATTATGGAAATGCAATTTGGAAAAAAAAAGAAAACAAATACTTTTGCTAATGTAGTAACAAAGATTTATAAATCCAAATTTATTATATTTACCGAGGCCATTTAACATAGGTTATTTTTTAATTGCCAGTAGATGAACCTTGCATGCATCTTACTAGAATGAGAAAAATATATTAACTGTTATAGTATATGATGCATTCTTCTACTTTTCTTACAAGATTAAAATAAACTTTTTCGCGGTGTTTTCACTTATTTTGCCATGCCGTATATCAAGCGTTTGAATGTAACAAACAATTGTCGCCAGATACAGTCAAACATTTGCCAGGGAACGGACAATGGGACTACAAAAATCAGAAAGAATAGTTCTATAATTCTAGTCAGATAATGATATGTGACTATATGACTTTTTGATGAAGATTATCAATAATAGCGCTGTTCTTGATTTGGTATATCGAGTTTGTGTATCACTTTTATCATGAATTAGTACACTGTCTCGTGTTTCTGTTCCTTGTAATATGTGTATAAATACCGAATTACTAACAATACCACAAGTAGTTCCTTGTAATATGTGTATAGATACCGAATTACTCACAATACCACAAATAGTTCCTTGTAATATGTGTATAACTACCGACACGGCTGGTAATCTACACACGCAGAACAATCGGTTCTGCAATGAAAATCGTGAGAGGATTTTCCGGTTATGCTTGAGTGGAGTAATTGTCACCGCTTCAAAAGGTATGTACATTTCTAAATCGCAATTTTCTAATTCAACGGATCAAAATATTGAAAATCGGAGAATGCTATGCTGTGGTGAATACTTTAACGAAGAGAAACATGTATCATTTATTGTTGTGCATGGAGTAAAACTCCTACAAAATCAATCGTCCCACGAGTAATTGCCGAAAAAAGTGACATTTAAATTTTGAGATGGTTCTATTGACAGACCTACAAGTTCAGATTTAGTTTTTTTTTCTGTCAACGGGATTGAATGTCGTTTTGGGCGGCGTGTACGCTGTCCGAAGTTGATAGACGTCTTAACAAATCTAAAAACTGCCAATTTTCATTATTTCATGCGCGAGGGGATTGGTTCTGATTGAGGACATCGTGAATGCGTGAGGGGAAGTGCAATCATATCTTTATATCGAAAAATGCAATAATCACTTCAAAGAAAGGCAAGTAACTTGCATAGTTTTATTGAAGTTCATACTAAATACAAATTGACAATGGAAATGGAAATGGCTACAACGTAAATATAAGTGGTTTAGATTTATGATTGACTATGTTTTTTTCTCATGTGCATGTGTAACAAAAAGTTTGTTCCGGCGTGACATTTGTTCCGCCGGAACTTATTTCATAGAAAATATGTTCCACCAGAACTTATATCACAGAAAATAAGTTCCAGCCCTGTAAAATTTGTTCCGGAACTAATTTTTATACCTAATGTGAAATAAGTTCCGGAACAAATATCACAGCTCCATGAATTTCGTTCCGATATAAATTGTTTAAAAAAAAGTCAGATAAATTCCCGTTATAAAAGTTAAAAAATTTTGAAATATCAAATTAAGTCAGCATATCTGTTGTAAGTAGATAATATGATTAAAAAACAAATGCACAATTAAGATTAAAATTAAGATTAACAACGGTGATAAAAATTTAAACACCGTGACTATTTAATTTTTGCAGTTTTAGCCTTCTTGTTTTGTTTTTGGCAATTTTCACATTGTTGAACATATTGCTTTGTATCACTCACAATACCTTTCCAGTAATATCTGTCTGTTATCTTATTGACAGTTTTATTAAGACCTTGGTGCCCACTATGGTCATGGCACATTTTTAAAATACTTTGGACTTTGTCTTTTGTAACTACAAGTTTTTTGGTTAACTGACCAGTAGTTTTGTCCTTATCAATATAATACAAATGTTCATCTTCAACTATGAAATTTTTCTGTGTGATTTTTCGAATTCTTCTTTTTTCTGCATCATTTTTTTCATTTGGATATTTTTTTTCTAGAATGTAATTAAATATTTTGCTATACTCCAAAGGATCCATATTGGATGTTTACACTTTTTATTATTATATATTATCAATGTAGTGCTTGTTTTATAATGTACTTGAATGATAACTTTAAACTCACTAATGACAATGCTCATTATTAAAGATAAGTTGTATAACCAGTGGAACATGTTTCACAGATTAGGAACTTATTTCACCAGGTAAGGAACAAATCTCACAAACCAGGAACTTATTTTACCAGGTAAGGAACAAATTTCATAGAATAGGAACTTATTTCACAATGTAAGGAATAAATTTCATAAACCCAGAACTTATTTCACCAGGTAAAGTGTGGAACTTATTTTATAGAGATGGAACAAATTAAATAGAAATTGTCTGTAGAAAGTTCTCCCGGAATATATTTCATGTGATATTTGTTCCACTGGAACTTTTATCACAGGAACAAATTTTGGCTCACACATGTATTAAGACTTTAATCTATGTTTTAGATGGATTGAACACGCCACTATTGCCTGCAGTGTGATAAGTCATAAACTCCACGTCCAAAGCCGAACTTCCATGCAAAGCTGGTACATAAAAACGCACTAGACACAAAGTGCAGCTACTGTGACAAGACTTTTTCATCTAAAGATAGTAAAAGAAGTTGAAAATTCCTCCTGACAATCATTTGTGTTACACTGAAAAGGCTTGGCTCCCATGCGGACCACAGATTCATGCCTTCTTTTATTATCTTTAGATGAAAATGTCTTGTCATAGTAGCTGCACTTTGTGTCTAGTGTGTTTTCATGTACCAGCTTTGCATGGAAGTTCAGCTTTGGACGTTGAGTTTATGACTTATCACACTGCAGGCAATGGTGGCGTGTTCAATCCATCTAAAACATGGATTAAAAGTCTTAATACATGCACACGAGAAAATCAATCATAAATCTAAACCACTTATATTTACGTTGTAGCCATTTCCATTTCCATTGTTAATTTATATATTTAGTATGAACTTCAACAAAACTATGCAAGTTACTAGCCTTTCTTTGAAGTGATTATTGCATTTTTGGATATAAAGATATGATTGCACTTCCCCTCACGCATTGACGATGTCCTCAATCAGAACCGATCCCCTCACGCATGAAATAATGAATATTGGCAGTTTTTAGATTTATTAAGACGTCTATCAACTTCGGACAGCGTACACGCCGCCCAAAACGACATTCAATCCCGTTGACAGAAAAAAAACCTAAATCTGAACATGTAGGTCTGTTAATAGAACCATCTCAAAATTTAAATGTCACTTTTTTCGGCATTTACTCGTGGGACGATTGATTTTGTAGGAGTTTTACTCCATGCACAACAATAAACGATACATGTGTCTTTTCGCTAAAGTATTCGCCACAGCATAGCATTCTCCGATTTTCAATACTTTGATCAGTTGAATTAGAAAATTGCGATTTAGAAATGTACATACCTTTTGAAGCGGTGACAATTACTCCACTCAAGCATAACCGGAAAATCCTCTCACGGTTTTCATTGCAGAACCGATTGTTCTGCGTGAGTAGATTACCAGCCGTGCCGAATTACTAACAATTATACCACAATGAAAACAGACGAAAAAGGTTTTATTTATTTTTTTATTTAAGGATGTACACCTCTGAGGAACATTTCTAGAATTAAACTTTTTTTCTTATACTGATTTTTGGGTTTATATGACTGTAAGAAAGTAATTGATGAAGAAAAAAATTATATGGTGGTGCACTTCTTTTTTTGCTAAGACCATTTGAAGATACCCCATTTTTAATGATTTTCCCATTTTTCATCAATTTTTACCCATTTTTTGGCTATTATCATGAAAAAAATCAGTTTCACCATTAAATTTTTTTTTCATGCTTTCACAAAAGATGAAGTAAAAAAACTATAGGTTGGTGTTAATATTTAGAATTTTTTCTAAACTGTTTTTGCTTTTTCGTGACAAATTGACCATGCTGTCAATTTTGTAAATTTGGGATTTTTCTCTTTTTTTATAACAAACTTGAAGCATATTATTTCAACTTCTTTGTTGTAAATGATTAAAATACATATCTAAGAATTTTGAAAAGAAAAATTGATATGGGATGTACATATTTTTGGTAAAATCATTTCTTTGTATCGTTCACCCATTTTCTCATGACAACATTTTGGCTGATGACACTGACCGGATTGGCTATAAAATTTGAAAACTTTATTACTCAAAAACCTCTTATTGTAAGTACACATTTTTTTCACAGAGTTTAGTTTGATTATAATAATTTCTAAATTCATTCATGCACTAAGTCTTGTAATTAATTACTTTAAACAAAAGTACGATATTACAAAACAAATATTTCCAGCTTCTTGTCTTAGTCGTTCAAGCGTTCCCATGAACATGTTCGCAAAGATTATATTAACATATGCACTTGTAATTAATTACTCTAAACAAAAGTACGATATTACAAAACAAATATTTCCAGCTTCTTGTCTTAGTCGTTCAAACGTTCCCATGAACATTTTCGCAAAGATTATATTTACATATGCACTTGTAATTAATTACTTTAAACAAAAGTACGATATTATAAAACAAATATTTCCAACTTCTTGTCTTAGTCGTTCAAGCGTTCCCAGGAACATGTTCGCAAAGATTATATTTACATGTGCAGTTGTAATTACTTTAAAAAAAAGTACGATATTTGTAAGTTCTTGTCTTAGTAGTTAAGGCGTTCCTATAAACATGTTCGCAAAGATTATATTTACATATGCATTTGTAATTAATTACTTTTAATAAAAAAAGTACGATATTTCAAATGAATGTAACAGTTTTGTGAATTTTATTAGGAATTATATTTGCGAATGGACATCAGTATATTGAACTAAATAAACTCATTATGCAAGCACAACACGGGGAATTTTTCCAAAAGAACATGGAACTTCAGCTCACACAAGAAATCAACGAACTGTGTAAGTGCTTCAGTCCAGACAATGCAGTAGATCCACTTGACCATTTTAGAACCAGCGTACTGAATGTTGGCTCCATACTTACATTTGGAAAGAGGTAAATTTATCATATGAGCTGCGTCGGATACATGTACATGTATAAGACTTTTATTGATAATGGAACATTCAAATACGAAATAAAAGATGAATTTTGGTCTGTTTTGTAGGGTTCTTACTACAACTCAATTTTCAAACAGTTACAGCTTCCCGTAGAAATTTTTGTAGAGGTTAACCAGGGTATACATTTATGTTAATCCTTGCACATGACACTTCCGAAGGTGAAGCCCATGATAAAGTGGAATATCCGTTTAACAGTGCGTTAGATATATATAGATATGCAGCCATGCCCGGTCCGAATGAGTATGGTTAAATCTGATGCCTCGTGTCACACTCCCTGCACGTTAAAGACACCTTGCAATAGCTCTCCGAGGGTTTCGAAGATAGTCTGTGGTAAGGCAAAATGTCTACCCCTACCTTTCACCCTGGTCGATCTACCTTACAGAATCTGTGTGCTGCATTCAATCAATCATTATAGATTTAAAATAAAATGTATTTTTACACACAAAATATTGTGTTTGTATATGTATATAGGGTTGATTGATTGATTGTTAGTGTATAACGCCACATTCAGCACTTTTGGCTACCGTTGTGGTATGTTTTTAGTGAAGGAAGCCGGAGTGCCCGGAGAGAACCAACGACTTTTGGCATGAAAGTCCTGCAATTACGATTGGAGACAGACGCGGGGTTCAAACTCACAACCTCAGTGTTGACAGACTAGTAGTGATACAGTCGATAAACTACCTTTTTTGATAATCGGCCATCAGCACTATCGACTAGTAACAATGGTTAATCTTCAGCCAATTTCTTATGAACTTCTTGGACCACTCCGGCCGCCGAGGCCCCTGTATGGATATGGTGTTTTCGTGTTCATTGTAGAAGACAGAAAAGGCATTTTGTGTAACTTGAATATTTACTCACAGATAAGTGTGAAAAAGACGGTTAATAGAAAAACAAAGGATACCGGATATCCACCCATGACACAACTACATTACATGCACAGCAAAAGACACATAAAAAGCAAAGGAACAGCGCTTGTCTTGCTGTTCTTCGTCTCAAAATCATATATATTTACAGAAGTGCAAACTGTATTGGGTGAAAAAATAGAACATGTAGAATTTTGCAAAATCTGGTTCACTGTAAGAGATTTCAATGAAATAAACTCAAATATAAAATTTTATAACTATTTCATGAAGATTGAAAATCCTGGGTAATAAATATGATGATTTAACCTAAGTTTACAGTTAACATTATGGATAATTTACCTAAAACCCTGTATGCAAAGTAAATTCATAATATATTCATACATGTAATTTCAATTGTAAAAAAGTGCTTATATCTACTCTTCGCAGTCATTGAAACTCATAGATCCTTGACGAACCTTGATGAACATCTTGTATACTACATGTTTATATATTTGCAGATTTCAATATAGTGACGCAGAGTTCAAAACACTACACGCTAGGATCCTTTACGTGTTTAAACATGGTCAAAGTCTTGGAAGGAAAGAAACTTTCTTCAGTTGGCTAGCTTTTTTTACAAAGTCTCAGGTATTATAAAATATATGAATACTCAATTAGCGATGGATTTAATTTCAAGCTTAAGGCAATTGCACGCTAAGGTTCCATTTAAAACATCTGACTCGGTAGTGTGCTCGCTTCTCATGTTAGAGGTTCATTCCAGGCTGTTGCAAATCAGACTTTGAATTTGGTTCTTGCTGTTTCAGTGTCTAACACTAGGTATTTAAGAGTAAGACATAAGACAAGTCAAGTCGGTTTGGAGTAAAAATAAATTAATTTGTATAAATAGAGTAATATGTACACTTTTCATTTAATAAAATATATTTTCTTAAATACTGTCGATATGATGTACCTTTAATGTGGCATTGCGGAGGGTCATATTTAATCAGACCGGTTATAACGTTTTAACACTAAACTCATTGGATGTATTCTGATTGATACTTTAGTCTTGGAGAACTTGATTTATTTTTAAGCTGTTATTGGTTTTGAACTAACTTCAGAGATCTTAGATCGATACTGTCTGTCTTTTGTCTTCATATTAGTGTTTGTTTTGTTTTGCTTGGTTTGGTTTTTGTTGTTGTTTTTTTTTTTTTTTTTTTTGGGGGGGGGGGGGGGGGTTTCCTGCCCATAAATCAAACCATTTCCAACTGATTTTACAGTTTGTTCTTAAAAATGTATGTTGTACTATTACACCATGTGAGGGGAGAATTTAATCCCGCAACATTCATTATGTTCCTGTCCCAAGTCAGAAGATTATAATTCAGTGGTTGACGTTAGTTACTAGATATAGGAAGATGTGGTATGAGTGCCAATGAGACAACTCTCCATCCAAGTTACAATTTATAAACGTAAACCATTATAGGTCAAGGTACGGCCTTCAACACGGAGCATTGGCTATATAACTGTCTGCTATATTTGTTTTTGCTTATATGCATAATAATAACGAATCATATGATCATATGTAAGAGGGTCTGGATAGATGGGGATCGTCATTTATGTATTCTTTAGATTATGGGCTTTTGTTTTCTCTTTTCTGTTCATTTTTTACTCTTTATTTTCTATTCTTTATATTGTAAAATCCTCTTGTGTCTATTCTCTTTTGTTGCCCATTTTTCTGCACTCTTTATTTATTTTGGCCCATTTTTCTCTAATCTTGGTCCATCATTCTGTGTTCTGTAAACCCCATCCAGACCAATATGTAAAAGTGACATTTGGAAATTACGTAGGTGATTTCTACGTGAATTGTTTATTTACAGGTCAGAAAAGTCATTGCAGAATTTGACATATTACACGAATATATAAGACAACAATTGAACGATCACAAAATTGAACATGATCCAAAGTCTCCAAAGGATTTACTAGATTTCTATCTAAACCTATCAGAAGAAACAAGAAAAGACAGTGCTTTATCAGGTTAAACTTTGTTTGTACATGTATATATATTTATCTTACCTCCTATACATTTCTAGGAATATTATTGCATGGTTAAAAGCGTCCACGTGGAGACCGTATAAAAATTGCGGTTTTTATCCAACGCAATATAGGTTTGAACGTTGTTTTCAATTTAGACTCGTTATATATGTATAAGTCTAGAGATTTGCACAACGATACTTATAAAAGATGGTATTATACGAAGATGTTGTTATTAAATCGTGTTGACAAATATTTCGGCTAAAGCTAAACAAATAGGGAAGAAGGATATTTGTTAAGCCGAAATATTTGTGAACACGATTTAATAACAACATCTTCGTATAATACCATCTTATATAAGTATCGTTGTGCAAATCTCTAGACTTATATCATTTTTTCCTTATCTGCACAGTATCGTCTATTCTAGACGATCCGGTACATAGTAAATTTGCTGGTTGGTCCTTTTTATAGACTTCTATATATACATGTATATATATATATAATATATATATAAGAATAAGAAGATGTGGTATGATTGGCAATGAGACAACACTCCACAAGAGACCAAATTACACAGAAATTATCAACCACAGGTCACCGTACGGCTTTCAATAATGAGTAAAGCCCATACCGCATAGTCAGCTATAAAAGGCCCCGTAATGACAAATGTAAAACAATTCAAACGAGAAAACGAACTGCCTAATTTATGAACAAAACAATGAACGAAAAACAAATATGTTACACAGCAACAAACGACAACCACTGAGTTACAGGCTCCTGACTTAGGACGGACAGGCACATACAGAATGTGGCTGGGTTAAACTAGTTTGAAAATTTCTGGATCCGCCACTGCCTTGTTCGTGACAAGTTCAAATCCAGTGGTATTCAGTAATACCTTATTTACGAGTAAAAGAATTAAGCCGGTATTTTGGCTACCACGTGTGCAAATGGAAATCATTCTTTTTTATCTGCATATAAGAGGTATTCCGTATACACATGTAGTTGTTCAAATCATGATCGAGGGATGATATGAAAAACAAACCTTAAAGTTTAGAACTCTCACAAATGTAAAAAAAAAATCAAACTTGAGAGGGAAATACAAGATCTTGTATCTAGTTTTAACTGGAAGATTAATAAAGTATGAATTTGTTATTGCTAATAGTCTGTTGGCAGAAATGAAAACTTATCAATGTCAGAGCAGACTTTATGAATATTTGACAAAAATTAAAAGCAAATGTCGAACCTTCTCACAAGCAAATAGTTATTGGACAGTGTTCAACAAATTATGAAAATTTTCAGATACGCGTCTCCAAATTTATTTTTACTAGATGGCTGTTATTGGAAAGAGTATACTTAAAAGACTGCAGGATATATATATATATATATAATACATTGAACTATGACTTGTCAAAAAATTTGAAGTATTTAAAGTAATATACATATATATCCTGCAATTCGGTGTCTTATCATACATTAACAGCCCAACATATATCGCTAGCCTGTATCTGTATACTATGCAGATATCGAGTTAAAGCTCCGCCCACTGCCGGGCTATTTTTGTGTATTGCTGTTGGCGAGTGTTGTATGAACTTTCAGAACCTCAGAATGTGTATTGCAATCGCATTTCAATGACGTATTGCTTAGTCCGTAAATGTCCCAGTTTCCGATCCGCAACCCACTTTCTGCTCATAGACAAACATGATCAGCAGGATTAACTCCATTTTCTACGGAGCAATCTTCAAGTTCAAAACTTGAATGTGTAAATCACGAAATCAACGGTATGCAACAATGTCAATACTCAGTGAATGCACGGACAGTTCGAAATTCTGAAGCGTAGGACAAATCAAACAGTTTTGTCTTAAATCGGACAATGTTTTGTTATTTCTTTTTACTGTTGAAATTAGTTGTTCAGTTCAGCTTCTTGTATATTCCTCCATTAATTGTGGAGCACTACCCATAGGGTATTTGTAGTAACTATATACACCTTATAACATAAGGAAACATTTAATTATGTACAGATGACTGAATTTAGGCAATAATAATTACTAAAAAAGTAATATTATAATAAATTCATAGGATTGTCATCATAAAATTTAAAAAAATAATATTCATAATGTGCTGAAGTGTAGGAAAAGTTAAGTAAGAACTTGATATATTTACAAATAAGAATTTAGAATTTAAGTGGTCTTTAATTAAAATTAACTTTCTTAAAATTGTTAGTTAAAGGTGCTATACGTACATCAGAATTTATAATGAAAAGGTTATTTTATAAGACTTATGTAAAAGGGTTGGGGTTTAAAACAATTCAGCATATATACACAAGTTTTCCTTCACAGTTTAAAATTACCTCATTTGGGATCTTGTCATTATTCTTTAAAGGTACTTGATATCTTAAAACTTTGCAAAAAATTAATTTAGGTCCTAATAAGTCATAAAATAGTAAGATGGTAAAGTAGGGAACTAGTTTATTTTAAAAAAGTTAACTTATACTGTACTTGTGTTAAAAGTTTTTTATCTTTTTTGTGCGCAGCATATGCATCTCATAGCACATATATCTACAAAACCAGGTTCAACCCACCATTTTTTTTCTTAAAATGTCCTGTACCAAGTCAGGAAAATGGCCATTGTTATATTATAGTTCGTTTCTGGGTGTGTTACATTTTAATGTTGTGTTTTTGTAGTGTCTTAGTTCTCCTCTTATATTTGATGTGTTTCCCTCAATTTTAGTTTGTAACCCGGATTTGTTTTTTTCCCATGGATTTATGAATTTCGAACAGCGGTATACTACTGTTGCCTTTATCTAGCCAGAGTTTCAATGTTTTCATACACAGTTGAGTAACAGTTTATGTCCTTGCTAGTACAGTCCATTATGAGCTGCAGTAAATTCCCTTGTTGTATGATCTTCTTGTATGTAGAGGTATCAATTTCATCCATTGTCTGTTCGATTTTTGAGCAATATTTAGATCTTATTTGCTCCAATTCTTTGCAGCGTAGAATAAAATGTTCTAGATCTTCATTTTCTTGTTCACAGATTGTACATATCGGGTTAACTTTCGGATCGAACTTAGCTCTTTTGGCTTGGAATATGTACGTTTGAGTACTTATTCTTGTTTTTATTTCTCCTGCCTTTACGTCTTTACTATTGTTTTTTACGCTTTTCCATATATTGTGAGCTTCATTTAATGGATTGTTCTGTATCTCTATGTATTTAAGTGATGTTTTTTTTTCCATTTTTTCATAATGACATTCATTTTTCCAGTATTCCTTGATCTTTTTTCCTTCTAGTCTTTTCCATTCGATTTTCTTAAGTGGTTTTTTTATGTAGTAACTACTAGATTTCAAATTGTATTTTGATAGAGTTTTTCCCACTTTGTTGATAAAGTCTTTTCTTCTTTGGTCTGAAAATGCTATTTGTCGGCGTAGAATTTCACATTCTATGGTTCCTGAATTTCGAACAATATTCATGAAGAAGGTATTACTAGGTAGATTTTTGTCTAATGTAATGGCAATAGGTTCTGCTCCTACCAGGGTATAGACAGCCATATTTGCTGTATTATTTGGAAGCCCTTGAATTTGTCGGAGGATTTTTCTCTCTGCCAGTTCTAGCATATCCTTTTCTTTTACAAGTAAGTTCATCACCTCAAATCCGTAGATGCGTCTTGGTACTGCATATGTTCACCATAGCTTGTATGCGACAATGGGTGAGAATCCCCTTCTGACATGTAAACCAGCCCCGAGAAGGCTTTATATTGTTGCCCTGCCGGTTCTTATTCTTTCTGAGATATTTGCCCGGTTTTACTCGTTTCTTTTGATACCTAGATGTTTGGTTTCATTGGTTACATTGATGTCATCATTTTCGAATTGCAGTGTTGATATGTTTGAGCCTTTTGCATTGTATAAAACAGCTTCAGATTTTGTTGGATTGATTTTAACTAGATCTCTGCTTGTATGGCGCTGTACTATGTCTAATATTCATTGTGCGTCTGCAGTACTATTTGCCAGGACAGTAATGTCATCGGCACATGTGTGTGCAGGGACTTGTATATCACCAATACATGCTCCAAGTCCACTTTTTAAAATGCAATCCAGTATGACGTTGTTGTAGCATTTATATAGCGTTGTAGATAGTTTTGCACCTTGTTGAATTCCTTGTAACACCATTACATCTTCTGTACATTGACCTTCCCATTTAACATTAATGCTCATGCCTTTATACAAGTTTCTCAGTAGTATCCAGAGCTTTCCTTTTATTCCATAATGGTACAGCTTGATGAATAGTATTTCATGGTTTAGTTTGTCAAATGCATTTTCTGCATCAAGAGTTATTAAAATCATCAGTATCTTTAATTTCTTACTTTCTTCGATTGCTTCTGATGTGAGGAAAGCTGCGCATAGTGATGACACTCCTTCTGTAAAACCTCTTTGCAAGGAGTTTTGTATGTTATTAAATACAGTCAACTCTATCCTTCAATATACTTTGTAATATTTTTGCAAAGGTTTTAGTCACAGTTATTCCTCTATAGCTAGATGGTAATGTTTTGTCTTTTTCTTTCTTTAGGATTGGTGTAAGAATCCCTGTCTTTAGTAAGATTGGTACATCCAAATATGTTAAAATTAAATTTAGCAAATGTACTATAAAGGGAGTTAACTCATCCATCCCATATTTGTAGTGTTCTGCCGAAATTCCATCCTCATCCGGTGCTTTTCCTGCTTTAAGTTTTTCTATAGCTTTATTAACCTCCTTTACATTGACATGATCAATGCCTTGACCTTTTTCTCTTTCTATGGATTCTATTATATTGTTTTGTATTTCTACAAGCTCTAGCTTTTCAGTGTCAAAATTTTCCTTTAATGTTGTCGAAGCTAGTTGTTGGAAATGTTGCCAAATGTTCATTATGCTTGGTCCATCTTCTGCAGTCTTTTCATTCAGTTTCAGTATCTTGGTGTTAGTAAAGTAAGTGGGGTTTTTTTCTTTGCACGTTGATAAGCTTGTAAAAAAGTTTTGTGTCTGCATTTGAAGCTTTCATAATTTTCCCCGCTGTTGATTCTCTCTGAGAGGCATAAGCTTATCTTTGTGCTTTTCGACGTATTCTTTTTGCAGCTGTCATTTTGAGTTTGAGCTCGTTACTTCTTTCTTGAGGTGCTCCATGTTGCCTCCATACTTTATATGCATTTTGTGATTGCTTTGATGCCTTTTCTATTTGTTCATTCCATATCGCCTTGTCCTTTGAATTGATTTTGATTTTTCTTCTATACTTTGGGATTGCCACTTCTCCGGCTTGATGTAGCAATTTTTCTAGATTTCTTAATTATATCTTGCTCAATGATTTCTTTGATTTTTGCATGAGGTTTGGTAGATCTTTATTGATGATTTCCTTATAAATTTGATGGTCACAGTCAGTCCATTTAGGTTTTGCTATGATAGTTGTTGCTTTTTCCCTTACTTTTTTCAGTTGGCTATTCAGTGTCAAAATAACAGGTACATGGTCCGAGGTATTCTCTGGGTCAGTATCAAGGACATCAATTTGTCTGATTTTATTTATTATTTCCGAGTTACTTTTGAAGAGGAAGTAATCAATTTGTCCTTTCGGTTTACCATTCTGGTGATTAAATGTTTCTTTTAATGGGCATTTCTCAGTATTTCCTATACAGTTGTTATGTTTTATACTAAATAATTATTAACTTTGAGCGATGTATTATTGTTGACCATGCGAGATTCTTTTCTGCATACCCGTCATCAGCTGATTGTGTGATTGTAATATTACTACGCGGACCTCAAAGGATTTTAAATCGAAAATAAATGCATTAAATTGGAGTTTTTCTGCTTTCAAAGCAAAAACAATGTACAAAATTAACTGCAGGATAAAGACAATAACTGTTTAGTGTCTTTAAATATCAGCTGTATTGGTACTCGGCTCGAAACTGGAGTACTTTGTAATAGCTCGCTGAAGCTTGCATTACACCTGGTTCTTAGCCTCGTACAAATACAGCTGATATTTAAAGACACTAAACAGTTACTGTCTATTTGACTTCTCGGCTGAAAGCGATCTAATAAAGTAAATAATAAATAGTTTAGACAAAGTCGGACAGAGCATCTTCATTTTCAAACAAATTCTTGATTTTTTTTTTCAGAAACTAATATGTTCCAGGCTATCATTGATATGTTTACTGGTTCATACGACTCATTGACAGCCTCATTGATGATAATTGTGTTTTATTTATTGAAATACCCGGACGTACAAAGAAAATGCAGAGAAGAAATCCACAGGGTAAACAAATACAACTCTACGTTTATAAACACGCTTCTATGTTATTCCATTAGCTGGCTTTGAAAATATGACATTTCATACAGTAATATAGGTACTCATTTTTTATCTTAAATTCATTTTTTTTTGTTTTTTGGGGAGCATTTTTTTTGGGGGGGGGGGGGGGATTTTGTTTTTGTTTTTAATAACCGGGTGGAGGTTATCTTGTAGTTGTTATTTTATTTTATTTTTTCTAACAAACAAATTCATGGCCTGCATAAATTATTTCTTGACTTTTTTAAGTCTGTCGTAACTCACAAAGTCGTTATCGCAATATGGCTGTTGAGCAAATATTTATAAGCAAATATTGCAATACGACTAACAACACATATATAAATCTACAAGAGATATACGAAATACCGGTACCACAAAACATCATTTTTTAAAAATTTTTCATCTGAAAAGGTTTTGATAAGTACACAAATGGAGACGTATTAAAACGTTTACATTGTGAGAGAACGTTTCAGTAAATTGTACATAAGAGTTTATAAGTATATGATAAATCGGGCATATGTTATATGATAATAATTCTCTTACGGGTTCAACACTGAATAACTTTTGGTCGCCGTGACCTATATTTCGCAGTGACGTTTGAGATTTTATTTCTTTTGAATGTAAGATAAATAACAGCAACTCAAGTGCTGTTCTTTTGCTTCGGACTTTTGTCATGAGTATTTATGGGTTTCGTGTCAAGAATTTTTACACCTTATCTGTTCTTTCTATCAAATTCCTTTTTTAACAATTGCATACAATATTGAACGTTCAATCCATGACAAAAATGTGTAAAGGGAGATAGTAACTCAGTTAGCACATATTTTGTAGGTATGCAAAGGAAAGAGTACAGTGACGTTAGAAGATAGAGATAAACTACAATATAACGAATCAACTATTAGAGAAGTACTACGTATAGCAAAACCCCGTATGAATGCTTTAACTTTATATATTCAATGATTATTGCAAATTTTTACTGTAAAATGATTTTTTTTAGCTGGGTTCAAATCTAGCAATTTGTTTTGAAAAAAAAAACGTGTTCTTAGGATTTTATGTTTTGATATGTTCTTTTCACTGATTTTAACATTCTTTGAAGATCAATTTACTGAGAGTAATATTTCGAGATTTTTTTTATAAAATTTTGCAGAAAATTTTAATCACGAAATTGCTAAAAATAAACCCCTCGGGGAAACGTCTTGCTAGTATTGCACAAATAAATATTTCATCACTATACTGTTGAGTGATCTATTTTCGCTGCTTATATATAAATTTTTGTGTTTTTTTTTAGCTAAAACCTGTTTGCGAGGTTTTGTTTTTGTGTTTTTCTTGTTCCTAATTCTAAAATTTAAATTATAACATAATTGCGAAATAAGCAAATTTTTAAAGGCAAAAGTGTACCCCTATCAAAAATTTCCTTCTTTACAATGTCTTGCTCACGTTAGAAATCAGTGTACGCATCATTTACAAAATATGGTGTCACACCGTCTGACGTCATGTAAAACGTGTTATACTGGGCTGATATTTCTATATCGTATTTTATCTATCCCCTTTTCTTTGGTACAAAATACTATTTTCAGTCACATGTTAACCGTTTTAAATATATACATATGTTATTGCAGCCCCTCTTTCATAGCTGAAAACAAATGTTACGATTTTAAAATCTTCATCTAAATGCCAGATGTTGTAACGGTTGTTTCTGTATCAGTGACATTAAATAATATAAATATATTTTATCAAAACCTTAATAAACACACATTTATAATATGCCATAATCTGATTAAAATAAAGAACATGTGTCCAAACAAGGATCTGAAACCGATCTGTTCTACTTTCTGTTTATAAAGACCTTTCGGGATCCTCTGATTTTGTCAGATTAATACACACCTTAAAAAAATTGAAGGCTTAAATTTCATTGGCTGATATAATAATTACAAGAACAGAAAGTAAAACGGAGTGTTGTAAGATCCTTGTAAGAAAATCGTGAAAACAGGATCTGATTTTTAATCAGATTGTAATATGCCATTTCAAATCTAAATTTCAAACGTTTTTAAGAATCCTCAAGAATCTGACACGTACAATGTCTCACCTGATATATATTTTTTTTCAGTTGTACTCTCTATATACAGAACTAACAAACGGGATATGGAAGTCGACGGATATACAATCCCAGCCAAGTCTGTTCTCCTGTATGATTTAAATGATCCACAGGTCGATCCTACACTATGGGAAAATCCTCACGAATTCGATCCTGATAGATGGACAAAACCACAGACAAATGGCTACCTTCCTTTTGGTATTGGTAAATATAAGATTAAAAAAATATTTGTATCAAAGGCGTATGGACAATTTTGCTGTATTTGTTTCCCTTACAGGGTCAGAATCTAAAAGTTGTCAAATCTTATTGGTATTTCAAAATTTTATACCTGTGAATTCAGAAATTATTGCGTGCATTTATTATTGCAATTTTTGAAGAATGGACGAAAATGCGAGACTATTTATTGCGAAAATCTGCATATAAATAAATGTATCAGATATCAGAATGCAAGTTCTTATTATTGCGATACCCACCTAGTCGCATTATTCGCATTAAAAAACCTCGCAAAAATGTTTTGCGATGTTTTTATTCAAGCGAAAACTGCGACAGTATCATCTTTGTAATAATAGAAACACGCATTCCTAATTTCAGGAGCGAGTTCCGTCATAAAATGTTTGCAATCGCATTAATAAGACTTCGCATGTTGAAAGTAGTCAAGGATTCTATATAATAAATACACTAATTTCTAAATTGACATTAATCTATCAAATCAAAAATATTTTCTGCGCTACATGATTCCGTTGAAAGTAGTTTTATGCTTAATTGCATATTTGTTTCTTCAAATTTTGCATCGAAGTACTAATTCTGGTACATTACTTAAGGGCGGCACTTTGTGGGAAGCTTCAGTATCATCTTTGTCAAACTTTTTGAAACTAGGTCGAGATTTTGACTTAAAAATGATTTTATTCTAAATCATAGACAACTCTGTTGACAACCTTTTTGACTCTGGACGATTTTGAGTTTAACATACTGTATAGTACCCGTATGTTGTTGATAACTGAGAGTTATTCTGTCTCAAACTGTATTTTGGTTTTTTTATTCTTTGGGTTGCTGTATTATTAACTTTGTCCCAAACATTCCTGTTCTTCACACAAGATTAGAAGCGAATAGTTTACACATGAAATGTATTCTCACTAGAATGCGTTATTGGTATAATTACAATTTTAGGGCGATTTAAGGGAACGACCATTTAACTTCGATGGTTTTTCTGATCCCCAATTCGTTGAAAAAAAAAATTCTGAATCCAGATTTTTCCTATACCTTATAGTGGTAAATACGTCGAAAGACAATAAAAAAATCTTCGCGCTTCGTGCGAAAAAAACTTTCTGACTCAGACAAAGAACCATACACCCCACACCCCTTTGAAGTTAAATGGGCTCCCTGATCAATCACATTATTTGGTGTATGTTTTAGAACATTTTACCCAGAATTCATGAGACTCTGTGTCTTTGTTTTATAGGTGAACGTAAATGTCCAGGAAGCGTTACAGCAGAAATGTCTTTGGTCTTGATTATGACAAATATACTACGGAAGTTTGAGTTAATCCCAGAAGATGTCAACAACTTACCTATGGAAAGAAAATGGACGGGAATTGTACTTCTTCCTCAACCCTTCAAAATGTTTATGAAACCTGTGGAATATTGACAGATTTAGGATAGTGTAATGTTAAAATATGATTCCTGTTGCAACACATGCAAAATGTATGATTACATAATAATATGTATTTAGTTAATAAGTGTATTCTTACGTAACAAATACACACATATACACACATTGGCTCTGTATTTGTTATTTAGTTTGTGTTTTATACCATGCCTTTTTTCTGGTCATATACTATGTTTTGTTTGTTTTAATCACAAATCATATAAATTAATTTATATAACAATAAAGTTTGAATTGAATTAAATTGTTATGACTTATTGTTTCATGATTAAATATATTAAATTCTAATGTTACAGAAACGATTTGAAGTGGTCATTACATCCGTACTCTTTATAGACAATGAGACAAATTCAATGATCACCAAAGTAAAAGACGTATTGAAAATATTGATTTTTTTGTGGGGAAAGACGGCTTCAAGCCGTCAATTCCCTATTTGGTTGGCCAGACTTCCAAGCTTCTCACGTCAATCATTTTGTTTTTATTTTTGGGAAAACACCTCAAAATTTCATACTGAATTGACGAAAAGGAGACACACAAATGAACAGATTGACTTTAAACACTTTTTTACACATTTCCCTTCTGTTTCTCGTGAAATTATCGTATCTTGAGCTCTCCCTTACAGTGGCGTAGCTAAGCCATTTTTAAGGGTACGCCCGAACCTCGGCGAGGGGTTTGAGGGTCCCAAGCGGGTACAGGGCAAGGGACCTTCCAGCAGGGGTCCAACGGAAGCTAACGATTTATTGAGAGAGAGATACTATTTCTGTAATTAAAACTCATCAATAGCAACATACTTTAAAGTCTAATTTCTTGATTTTATTCATGTATAATTTATTCAGTGTGTTGATTTGGAATCTAATGGCCAATAGTTGTTACTATGAAATATGTTTAAAAGGAGATGTGGGGTAAAACAATCAATCGACCAAAGATCCAAACCTTTCGAAATATAAAAAAAGCAAGTCTACATTTTCAATGGTGTCGTTCTTTTGATTATTATGACTTAATCTTGTTTTCTCCCCTTTTATGCGCAAATTTCGTTAATGGACAAGTACATGCAATAATAAATTTTCATAGATGGTCAGGTGTGACATAAATATACTCTAAGGGTTACGTGGCATCCTATGTTTCGCCTGGGATTGCTGCTGTCGGTTAAACTATAAAAAGTGAATCCATTTATCAGTCAAATACAGGATTTAAAAGAAATCAAACTTTTCTTTAAATGTTTTTCTTGGTCTTAGAAGATAAGCTTCTGTCCAAGTTTCATAACAATCTACGAAAGTTTACAAATGTAGCAGGTGAAAAATATTCAATTCAAGACCGTCTGCTAATTGCCCCCCCCCCCCCCAAAAAAAAAGGTAAAATACTGAAAAATGGAAAAAAAATTTTGACTGAAATTTGCTGACTGTTGTAAAAGTTTTGAAATCATTTAAAAATTAAGGAATATATCTCCCCCATGCAAAGCTCTGATTCTTTGTCCGGAATTGGCTATACTTTGGGTACGTTTTATTTTAATCAGCTCTTCCAATGTTTTTATTATGTTTTGGATTTTCTAATATTTCGGCCTAGAGCATCACTGATGAGACATTAATTGTCGAAATGCGCATCTGGTGCAAAAAAAAAATTCGTACAGTTGGTGTTAACATTTTTACATAAAATTCGATGAAGTTTTGACAAAGTAATTGATACGTAACAAACAGTATCTACTTGTTAACTAATAAAAACAATGTTCTTTTCAGTAAAATGCGGAAAAATTAAAAGTAAATTTTCATAATTATGCTCTGGATACTTTTTAAAAATTTCTGCCTATATTCTGTAAAATTTCATAAAGGTTTTACAACTTCATTGATGTTTTAAAAAATATTTAACCACAGGCTGAACATAAATATTGACGACGCTAACGCCGATTACTAGTACGGAATGTCTCGCAGGCTCGACAAAACTGCATATCGTATCGCAGCAGATAATGAATTGCTTTAAACTATAGGAAAGGGAGGATAATTCACAGTAGATTCAGATTTTGAAAGAAAACGAACAAATAAATAATATGATACCATTTGATTAAAAAGTAAATTTCTTCATACTGTTATCTTCAATTACAAGTCAGTGGAGAAAGAACTACAAGGCTCATGTGCTTTTAGCCAGATCTTTTAATTTATTTAGATTAAAATATTTTTTATCCAAAATTCATGTGTACGCCCGGGCGTTTTGACGTAAACGTAGCTACGCACCTGCCTTACACTTTTTACGTTTCTTTTACAATCCGGAAAAATCAGTATTACTAAATATTCTAAATATATCCATCCCAGTGACGTCATGGTTGGAATTCCACACTACGTAGAAGAAGGGATATCCTTTACTCATTATTAAAATCATTCACAGAAATCGTGTACGATTTTAAAATCGGTATTTGTTTATTTAAACATAATTTTGTTTGCTGTAGATGATTCCAACATCAATGCTTTTATTTGTAGGTCAACTTTCACGGTAAACAATGGGGATACATGAGATTGGGGAGAGAAACGACAGTTTTCATTCTTTCTGTAACTGTATTGAGAATCTTCTTCCAATACAGGAGCACCTCAATTGATGAGTAATTATCCGCCAAGATAAAAGTTAATGTATCTGAACAATTTCTTATATGATAAGTAGTCTTCCATTTAAACAAAATTTCAATGTGTACCAGCATAATGGTAAAAAAATGATAAAATTTTCAAATGTTGCTTTTTGTAGTTTAAACATATTTATTCATGAAATTTGCATATATCAAAATGTAGGATCTTGAAACAAGCTGCACACAGCTTATATCAATCTGATTGATTTTTATAAGTACATGTATCCCTATGATGAGAGTTGTAACTGGGAACTTTATCAATGGAAATTTAAAACTGAATAGACTTTTCAGTCCTCACTTTCTTGAGAAAGTTGTAATCAAGTCTGTCACAAAAAATAGAGAATGACCCTAGCCTGCAGTTCAGTGGTACACAAAAAAAAAATTAAAATATATTGTAGAAGTTATTAAATGATAGAATTCAATTGAATTTTAGATAATTAACTTTCACCTTTAATCAAATGTTTTGATTTAGAAGGTGCCGATCTCTTCCATTGGTCCAAACTGAATCCATGATGAATTCTTGACTTAGGAAATGAAATTACATTAAACAACAATTAATTTCAATATTGTCAACCTTTTTACATGTACTAGCTGTTCTTTTGCTCATTCTTTGTATGAAGACTATCAAAAGATACCCCAACAAAATAGAAAAAAATAGCCGTCTTTTCCCTCAGAGCTCTTAAGCTCTTTGATTAATGAAGGGACGAAACAACTTTCTAACACTAACACAAAATCTTCATATGTACACCGCGGCTTCCAACTTTCCAAGACTAACACCAAATATACATATGTAGACTTCGGCTTCCAACTTTCTAACACTAACATAAAATCTACATATGTAGACATTAGCTTCCACCTTTCCAACACTAACACAAAATCTACTTATGTAGACATTGTGACATGCATACAACATGTGGCGGAGTGAGTATTCACCCATACATGTATTTGCGGAGCCAATTGCATATGATATATCATACCAGATGTTGACGTTAATCTGTTTGAATAAGGAATAATCACCTGAAGGAATTTATAAACGCATCCGTCTATACATATTATTGTTAAAATCTAACAGAAAAAAACACAAAAACTATAAAAAAAAATAATGTAAAACTCCAAGGTCTCAATCAAACTGGGTGCTAGTTGAAGCGATGGTCAATGAATGAGACCTTTAACTATAGAAGCGCATATGGTACACCCCTTGTAAAGTTATTTTGTTGCAAATAAGTCGGAATTATTAGTTATGTTGTGTGTAATAAACTGGAATAAAATCATCATGTGTAGTCAACTTGTCGGAATGATGAAGAAAAATTGCATTACAATGCCGACTTGCTAGAATAAATGTAATGACAAAGTAATAAGAAGTGACATGTTGAATTCAACTTTTTAACTGATTATGTCGACAACTTGCTAATTTGATGATAAGGTAAAACCACATGACCATTTTGGAAAAAAATAGGTCTATTTTTAAATCGATGTCCATATCAGTCGTTTTTTTAATGTGCTTCGGATGTTTGAAACCATCCATTGAGTTCAAGTTCAAATTAAAGTTCGAGTTGTTGTTCAGAGTTATTTGTTATAAAAAGGGCAGTCAAATAATAGAAAAAGTACTAAAAAAAATATCAATATGTCGGACATAAGGGTGATATACCCACATCACTTAGTCCGGCTGTTTATTTTCCTAAGATCTTACATACACTACAATAATAACAAACACAAAGCAATGCAAGAGATTAAAGACAAATTTGCATCATTAGCAAACACGGTTAAAGCTAAAACCAATTCAGCTTTAACCTCAGTTCAAGAAGTCTTTACAGAAACACAACTCATTACATCGGAAATCGAGATAAACAATAAGGCATTCGTAAATAAATCAAACAGCTTGTGGGACAAATTGAATGCCGTTTCTAATGAGACTAAATCTGTGATGCAAAATTAATTGTTTTTGGCTTTTAACTATCTTTCAGTAACTGCGAGTACTCTCAAATCGTACTTTCGTTTTAATTTGACCTGTTGACATAATTTTTGTTATTCAATATTGGCATTTAAAAAGTCGGAATGCGAATACATATGTTCAAACTCTTTTAGGTCATTTTTTAGTAGCAACAAACAAAAGAGCTATGTCAATTGGACATGCTTTGATACTATATCTGCCCTTGAATTTTTACTTGATAACATTTGTGTTTGCTTTCGAGATTCCGTATATCGTCAAGTTATCGGAATTCCAATGGGGACTAACTGTGCACCACTTATTGCGGACCTGTTTTTGTATTGTTATGAGTTACAATTTATGACTAAAATCAGCAAAGACCCATCGAAACAACATCTGATACAAAAATTTAACAATACTTTTAGATATTTGGATGATATATTGGCTCTCAATAATGACGACTTCAATATGTATACTAAAGAAATTTATCCTGTTGAACTTACTTTAAATAAAGCTAATACTAACAATGACCACTGTCCTTTCCTCGATCTTGATATCTATATCATTAACGGGAAGCTTAATACAAAAATTTATGATAAAAGAGATGATTTTTCATTTCCTATCGTTAATTGTCCATTTTTAGATGGTGACGTTCCCTTGTCACCTTCTTATGGTGTTTATATATCTCAACTTGTACGATTAGC